GACTTCTTTTTCTTCCTTTTTTGCGTTTTCTGGGAACTCTAAGTAATAGTAAATATCTCGTCCGTCTTTATGTAAATGTCTTATGTTTTCATTAATGATTTGGTTGCCATTTGTCCCACTACTGGACGCTGTTGTTGGCTGTGTATTTCTTATGTTTTCATTAATGGTTTGACCTTGTTTTTGCGGTTCCATAATATATTATTATAATGTTTTTAATTGGTTGTTTGTTTGGTTGAATGAATTTTTAGCCATTTTATATTAATTGTTGGGTTTTCCTCGCTTGTTTGGCTAGAAAGATAGTATAAAAATATAAACCATATGGCCAAAAATACAAAAGAAAGAATTATCAGAGGTTCACGGCGTAGCCCGCGGGTTGTTTACTTTGCTACTAAGGTAACGCCCGAGTTTGACGCTCTATTACGCCAAGAGGCCCATAAAGAGGGTTATTCGTTAGCCGAAATGTTGGAAAAATACCAAGAAGCCTACGAGGAGAGAAAGGGAGTTAAAAAGCAAAAACCGGAAAAAGTAACTAGCGAATAAAAAATAATATTTAAAAAATATTACCGTGCGAGAAATAATAATCGTTAAAGAAAATATTCCGAAAATAAAATCTTTTTTGGATATGGAAAACATTAGTTACGAAATTTACCAAGACCAAACCCTTTTCTCCTCCGGGCGAAGTGAAGGTTGATATTGCCAGTTTGGAGAAAGAAACGGGACTGAAAAAAGACTGAAAAAACTCCGCTTGAAAGAAAGTCTATAAGGATAAATACAACGAACTTTATAATAGTTTGCCCGCCACCAAGGAAAAAAAGCGTTTATCGCGGCAAAAAAGTCAACAACGAACCAAGAAAAAAGCCGCTATAACAAGAAAAATTATTGCAAAATTATAAAACTACCTTATTATGAAGTTATCTACGTGTGCATGTTTCTTAATAGTCTCTTTGTTTTCTCTGGTTTTTGGATTGGTTTGGTTGAGTGCTTCTCTCAAATCTAAATTCTCTTCAAAGGAAAAGAAAAATGAATGTGATGGAGGAGGAAATGATACGTCTTGTACCCAATCTCTTTCAGGTTCTCTTTCTATTGAATCGGGCGTTTTTATCTCTGCTTCTTTCTCTGTTTTTTCTTTTATTTGCCTCATTATTTCTACTTTTTTTGTTTTTCGTATTTATCGCTGAACAAGAGAGGAAAGGAATAATCCCAGAACAGAAATTTCTGTTGTTGAGGTTAATGAAGTAAATGCAAGATCTTCTCTGAAAGAAAAATTTAAAGAGACTTTTGAGAGAATTGGGAAAGAAAAACCATTACTGGCTTGATAAATAAAAAATAGCATTTTGCCAAAAAAACTTAAACATACCCCCTTTTTAAATACTTGGTTAAAACCTTGCGTCTTTCCGTAGTTAAT